TTCAATCAAAGACTATAAATGGATATTCTCAATCCAATCAACCCTGCAAAATGACAAACATCCCTTTCACTGTATGCCTCGTGATGGATGAGCGGCGGGGTGTTCCCTCGGTCTTTGACGTGGTTCGCCATGCCTAACAGATTGGACCAATGTTAGCCAAGTAACGTGACATGGCCGGTCACCTTTTCTCAAAGGTTACCCGGTCATTTCTTGAGCTCAACCCGTCTCTTCGGTCTTCCAGAATATCCTTCATAACATTAGGTGACGATTTGGCTAACGCCCAAAATATGACTGGTCACTTTTTGAGGGAAGTGACCGGTCAATTTTTGACCCATCCCAATCGAAGAGTTGTCCTCGTTTGGTGATCGAAGAAAGTGACCGGTCATGTTTTGACCTGTCCCTTTCGGTTATCCGGGTCGAGTATAAGGATATACCCATCAAAATCATTATGTTTATTATATTTTATAAACCCTTCACTTTTCAACAATAAAAACCCTTATTTTAATTCTTTTTTTTATAAAATTTTCACTTTCTAACTATTTTAGAAAGATTTTTTTGTTGTTTTAACATATTTTTTTAAATATACGCGGCAATTTTCACTACCAAAAATCTGACTTTTTGTGGCACCAAAATTTGCCACAAAACATTCAAAATTAGCCACAATAACAATTTGTAGCAATTTTGGAATTTGCCACAAGGTTGCCACAAAAACCACGTTACAAAATGTTAATTTGCCACAAATATTATAGTTTTAGTGGCAAATTATGATTTGCCACAAAAGCTCATGTTTAGTAGCTAATTTGAGTTGCTACAAATAATACTTTGCCACAAAAGCTCATGTATAGTAGCAAATTTATTTTGCCACAAATTGAACTTTGCCACAAAAACTCATGTTTAGTAACAAATTTTAATTCCTACAATTTATTGTGGCATATTAAATTTACTATAATTATTTTTCATATTACTATTATTATAAAGAAAAATAATTAAAATTTTAAACTACTATGAAGCACTTATTAAATATAAGCTATTTTAAAGAAATATATCTTCTTTTTAATAAAAGTAAATTTTATTGATAAAAAAATAATATTACAATCAAAGCTCAAGCGAGCTACATCGTCCAAACATATAATTGTTGCAAAGATCCAAAAAATGTTAAAGCTATAAATGAAAATCCTTACAAGCTAATACAATAACAACCAAACAATGCACTGCTCCAGGTTATTTTCTGAATCAATATCCCGCTTGTGAGAACATAAGGTCCTTCAAATGTGGAAGCTTATCAAAGCAATCACCCTCCAAATTGACAAAAGAATATGTCCAAATTAAAGCAAAGCATAAACTCCTACACCATCAAAGAGAGGTCCTGCACCATTTGATGAACTTCCTTATTCAAATAAAAAGTATGATAAACTATACACATGAAATGAAACGCACTACAGTACCAAGAAAAAAATAAAGTAATGTTTCTAAATGGAATCAAAGAGGAATCTCAAGGAATAAGAGAAGAAAAGGAGAGTTGTCTACTTGGAATATGGTGTTTAGATAAAATACTTAGAAATTCTATAGCCTTAAAAGATGCAGAGATTTAAGCTTTGTTGATAAAACTAAACTTGCTCAATAGGGAACAAGCAGAAGCTCCTAAATCGGGCTTTGAGGTTAAAGATGAAAACACAAAGCGTACATCACGAAGTTCATAGAAAAATTTTCTCAAGACTATTACATGTCTCTCTCTCACAAGAGTTGATCCTACTAGAGAAGGAGCATTCTCACATTTAAAAATGTCTAGCATTGAAGAGTATGATAATCTTAAGAGGGAGAGGATTGATGATAATCAACATTTTCAACCATTGAAGAAAAGATACAAACATTGATCAATTGTTGGAAGAAAATATGGAATTCCGGCTCTGGTTTAGCACTTCTTTCCATTAGATAAAAAAGTTTCAAAGCCCTGTCAAACAAAGACTTACAAGACGAACTACAGAATAAGAGGGGAAACAAACATAAGTTGGACAGTAATTAAATTGCTGAAACAACTCTCTGAGATCAGCCCTATATACAAGTACCTGAAAGAGATACAATTAGAGTTAACATTAAGGTTAGAAAATCAGACTCTTCTATCTTTTATGACTAATAAATAAAAATATTTAAAGGACACCAAAGTTAAAGCATAATCAAAGAATAATGAAAAATAAATGATAATAAGCTGGACAGTAATTAAATGTACTAATAATCAGTTGTGTAAGAAATAAAAACACACCTGGGCACGATTTTAAAAATGCAATGATCTCTAAAATTGGTTTGGATATAGTTTTTAGACAACAAAAAGAGCATAGAGATGAGAATTCAAACCGCCTTAGTGGTGATGTGAAGATGGTAAAGATCCAAAAGTATTACAATCAAAGCTCAAGCGAGCTACATCGTCCAAACATATAATTGTTGCAAAGATCCAAAAAATGTTAAAGCTATAAATGAAAATCCTTACAAACTAATACAATAACAACCAAACAATGCACTGCTCCAGGTTATTTTCTGAATCAATATCCCGCTTGTGAGAACATAAGGTCCTCTGGATAAGTTCCTTATCAGTGACAGAGAAGAGATGAAGCTTGATCAACCACAATTCTTTATGAGCTCGAACATACTGTCTATGATGAGTAGAATTTGGACCAGTAATACCAAGCAAAACTCTAACTAGTACTGGTAAGCTCTCAAATTCTACCGCTGCATTTAAAGAAATTTTTTTAATATGTTGAGAAACTTTCTCTACCTTGAAAGAGCCTGGAATCTGCAAGTTACCAAGATAATTGACCCAAAGGAATTGTTTCCTCTGCGTACAATTAGACAACACATAGTTCCTTGACAAGAACACAAACATTAAGAGCTAATTAACCAACCATGAAAATTAATCAACTAAGACCATTTCTTGAAAATTTGAAAACTAATTACCCACATTGAAATTCATGATAGTAAATCTAAACCAAAGTATTGCACAAGAAACATAACATAGCTAGGGATGGTAAGTAGCTGCAACCCCACCAGTTTTCTATTCCATATTTTTATAAGCTATCATATCGCTTCTTTTAAGAAGGACATCACCTAATGGCATACAGTCTAACAAAATATGATATGATAGTAGGTTAACCATCTGAGAAGAATCTGCATTTTCTTGTCCCCTAATCTAGAGGGTTATGAGACTTTTTTCCCCATTGTTCAATCGCCTAGGAACATAAAATTGCTCTCATTCAACACAACAACACAACAAATATGTCACATATAGCCAGATTGAAAATAGAATCAAACCAACTTTTAATTAAAATTAAAAGCCAAATTTAGATATATTTTTGAGAAAATTAGAATTCAATCCAACTCCAAACACAATTATATATAACTAAATCATAACTTAATCTAAATCTGTCCAAACGGTAACAATGCACACAATAATACTGAAATAGACAATATAAATAAAATTGAACCTAAACTAGAAAGGAATTGAAGAACATGGATTTGAAGTTTATACCGAAAACCAACCATTAGATACTGGAATGTATTTGATTTGGTGCTAAAAATGTCGTTCAACCATTGTACTCCGTATAGCTCGCTGCATCACTGCCAGAAACCAAATCCAGCGGCCGTTGCTCCTCGTCTCCCTTTCTCAGCACTATCGGAGAAATTGGCCGGTTGCTAGGGTTCAAGAGCCTAGCATGATCGTCGTCTCACGGTTGTGA